GTATGCTGTTACATGTTTAAAAGTCGAGTGTTTTCTGGAGGATTTTCTTGGTATGCTTAACGTTATATTTACACAGCCTCTCATATTGTATTACTTTAATAGCCAACACTGCATATATTTGAAATATTTACCATTGTAATTAGTGATTATGTAATGTTAACGTTTTATATTTTGAGACTATTTTTTTAACCGCCGTTGCGAGTGTGACAACGTTTTGGTCCGCACAAATTTTGCTCAGCGCACTCACTCAGATTAACGTTATACACGGCCATTTTGTGTTAAATTGAGCAATCAAACGGCAAGCAAGTGATTAATAAAGTAAAAGGACAGCACGCAAGCGAATATGTATTTGTTAAAAACACTTGATGACATATTCGTGTTCTGTTAATTCACTGATGGTCATTTGGGCTTCTAAAATGGAATTATGCATCGCTATTTATGTTTAACGTTACTCTATAGTCATTCATCAAGGTTAAAGGGTTACTCCACCCCAAAATGAACATTTTGTCATTAATCACTTACCCCCATGTCGTTCCAGACCCGAAAAGTTTCATTCGTTTTCGGAACACAATTTAAGATATTTTGGTTGAAAACTGGGAGGCTTGTGCTGTCCCATTGACTGCCTAGTAAATTACACTGTCAAGGTCCAGAAAAGTATTAAAGACATCGTCAGAATAGTCCATCTGCCATCAGTGGTTCAACCATAACGTTATGAAGCGACGAGAATACTTTTTGTACGCGAAGAAAACTAAAATAACGACTTTATTCAACAATTTGTCTCCTCTGTGTCTCTCCGCATCACCGTAGCGCCATTTTGGAGAATATCCGCTGAACGCAAGCAGCGTACGCTCTTCTGTGTCACAATTCTGATCGCGCTCATTTTACTTCCCTCCATCCCACCTCCCACCCTTCCCATCTGCCTCTGGCCAGAACTGGTGAGCAGGGCTTGCCTTAACAGCTCAGTAATTCTATCAGAGAGTAATCATTCCGCTGATGAAGACGGACAGCTCCTCGCACAGGAGAGCTGAATGAGACTGCCAAAGTCCATTAAAGGGACGGACAGTGGTGTGGATGGAACCGGGGCTATCAGCGGCACTCTGCTGGGAGATGCTAATTGATTGCTTTCAGGAATTAATGTGGCGGATGAGCTGGTCACGTCTTACAGTAACAACCTGTCTTTATGTTACATGTGCGACCGGAGAGGAAAACCCACCTAGACGGTCACCGTCTTCATCGTCACCTGGGTAAATGGGAATATGAAGATGGAATAAAAAAAAAGTTAAAGACAGAAAATTACATGAAAATATAACAGTTATAAAATAACAGTGGTTGTTTACCAAACAATAGTTACTATCTGGATGTCATGAAAACATGTCCAAGTAAAAACTAAAATAAAATTATGTATTTTGTTTTATAATATAATTATATATAGCATTTCATTTGTCACACATCTAAGTGGCTGATAGAGAACTGACATAAATTGATGAAATCTCTAGTGTTAGCACAAAACTTTGAGAGTGTTCAAGGCGCTTTGGATGAAAAGCATCTGCTAAATGGCGAGTAACAGGAGGATTGGTTCACAAGCCTGTCACTGATACAGATACTTTAGACAGACATGAGAAGAAAAAGATGGATTGAGTACAAAAATAAACATCTGAATAGGACAGAGAACTTTTGATCAAAGTATGACAGAACAATGTAAGCCTAGATAGAATGAACTTACCCGCACCTCGAAGAATCAAAAACAGAAAGAGTAAACGCAGCATCTTCTTATTCTAGGAAAAAAGATAAGGAGAAAAAATTAATCTACACATTAGAACGCTACACCTAGATTTCTCAATAGCTTTGATACATAGTCAACCCCGTGAACCTGGCCTAGTGTAACATAGATAAATTCACATAGAAGAACTGCTTTATCTCTCTAATCTCAAATGGATCACAATCATCTATTACACCATGCCATAGTTGAAAATATATGCCAGTGTTAATAAATAACTAGAAATATAATCAGCCCAGTATGAAACTGAACTGTGGTTTGCCGGCTAAATATTTAAAATTCATCAAAAGTCTTTAGTCCTTATCTCATCATGAATTTACCGAGGGCTTACTCATGGTTCATGTCTTGTCAACTTTGTGGTCTGGTGTGCACTTGTGAATGCAACGTTTTTTTGTTTACCAAAGCACTTGAACAAGCACACTCAATGGAAAACTTATGCTGAGTGCCATAAGCTCCATTGAGGACCATGCAGGCTAGTCATGCTAAGCAGTTTTAGTTTAGTTTATCTTCCCATAACAGTGAATTCCTGAACCGTGTGGGTAGTTATCAGTTTTGCCCCCTTAAAATCCTAATCTTGTGAGTTTTGTGGCTTTAGTTCAAGGCCATCTATATGCTAGTCTTCTCCTAAAAGTTAAACTAAACTTGTAGACAAAATAAATGCATTTAAAATCTGTCTTTCTCTTTGTGGAAAATGGACCCAAAATACTGATACTGCAGAGGTGTATGCAAGTTTTTCTGCAATACAATTCTTCCTTGAATGTTGCAAGCATCTAATCATAACTTTGCCAGGCTATTTATCCCACATCAACTTCCTCAACAAGTTCCTGTGGAAGTTTGTTTCCCCCATTGGATGAAAAAATAAGAAAGGTAACTGGGACTTTTTATCTCACATTTCTGTTTTAATCTCACAAGTCTGCCTTTTCTCTCAGAATGGCGAGATGTCAACTCAGAAGTGTGACATATAAATGCAGAATTGTGAGATCTAAACTTGCAATTCTGAGAGAAAAGGTCTGAATTGTGAGATCAAAAAAATTGAGACATAAACTCATAATTTTGAGAGAAAAGTCAGAATTGTGAGATTGTGAGAAAAAAAAACTTAGTATGGAAACTCAGTATTCAAAGAAAAACTCAGAATTGTGTGATGGAAACTCAGAATTTAGAGAAAAAAAATCTCAGAATTGTGACATGAAAACTTGGAATTGCGAGGAAGTCAGATTTCTGATTTTGTATTACATGCTTTTCCAAGTTTTTCCCTTGTCAAGACATGAAAGAAAATTGTAGTTGTCAGGCCATTTCATGGGGTCTTAAACTTAAATTATTATTAAATTATTAATTATTGTGGCATTTTAATTGAAATTTTAATAAAAATTTGAAAATCCCCTCACTTCCTGTAACAGTAAGAAGTGATTCATTTCAAACTTTTGTGTGATTTGTGAACCTCACACATTTGTGATTTAACAGCCTTCATTCTGAAACCATCTGAAAAGCTGCTAAATGACTTTAATCAATACAACTAAAGTACAAATACACATGGAGGATCGCTCCTCTTCACATATTATGTTTTATTTCCGCATGGTAACTTTCCCAGAACGGCCTTTTTGTGGTCATAATGTGGACACACGCAGCTGGCCGAACTCAGTTTCCGCTGGCTGTTATTACTCTTAACAATTACATGTATTTATTTTTGTTCCCACTTTGGACTAGGAAATGGGAATTAGCCGGGGAATGATGTTTTCCTGAGTCCCAAAATGGTTAAATAAGGCTTTTGCTTGGTGCCCAAGTTCCAAGTTCCCCTTCTGTGGCCTGCACATCAATCTCACAAGCCGCTGCTCTTCATCCAGATATTGTTGTTGGTGCCCATTGTGTTGGGCTTCCACTTCCTGTTGTTAATTGCTGTTATGATGTCACAATAACTGGGAACCCCAAACAGGGAAGTGACACTGGGACATTATACACCTGCTTTCTTCATTCGCATTATACTACTCCGACTGGATGTCCACTTTGGACAGTTTTCCTATGCAAAGCCGGAAGCTAATAATAGGCCTATTTATAATTTAATCAGTCATTTTGTGCTGGCACAGTGAATGTTTTTGAATGAATGGACAATCTCAAATAGATACAAATTAGAATAAAGTTAAACATTTTAAATAAAGACAACAAAAACATGTTTACACAAACGAGTCGAAAGCAGTAGCACTGGAATTTGAATCGGTGAATCATTCATTCGAATTAATGAATCTAAATGAACTGAAGAGAGAGCCGTTTATGTGAGCGCGTTTGATTATTTCTTCTGCTCTGACATTAAAAATAGTGACGTAGCATTGTTCAAAACGGAATATTAGTGTTCAATTTCCCAATTCCAACCTCAGTTTGTTTCAGTTAATCACGAGTCACGTTGACATAGATATGTATACATAGATTCCTCTACTGTTTCCATGGGCCGCTATGCGTAAGCTGTCCGCCATATTCAAAGGGTCAACTTGAGGTCATTCACCGTAACATCCGATGGTCTGCCATAGATATGTATAGGTAGATTCCCCATTCGACTGCATCAAGCACGTAGACGCGTCCGCCATCTTTAACAGTCAACTTGACGTCATTCACCATAATAATCAATGAATATTTGAAGATGCCACAATCCTGCACAGTGGATGGTTATAAAAACTGCTGGGATTTAAATTTCCAAAGAAACGGGATAACCTTTCACAGGTGAGAATGTGTTGGTTTGTGTTTTTAAATGTATTAACTCAGTATTACAAGTTTTGAAACATTGGTAACTTATGCTACTGTTATGGTGAATGACGTCAAGTTGACCCTTCGAATATGGCGAATGGCTTACGTATAGCAGCCCATAGTAACAGTAGCTAATGAGGCATCTACGTATACATCTCTATGATGGTCTGCGAACCCTCGAGTACGGTGGCCGAGAGAGCTCAACGTGTTGTTGTGTAGACATAACTAACACCATACAACAAGATGAGCGCGTTGGCTAATACAACATTAAAAGTTACCAATGTTTCAAAACTTGCAATATTGAGTTAATACATTTAAAAACAAAACACATTCTCACCTGTGAAAGGTTATCTCGTTTCTTCAGGAATTTAAATCCCTGCGGTTTTTACAACCATCGGCTGTGCAGGATTGTGGCATCTTCGAATATTCATTGATTATTATGGTGAATGACGTCAAGTTGACTGTTAAAAATGGAGGACGCGTCTACATGCTTAGCACAGTCGAATCTACCTACCTGTATACATATCTATGCACGTTCATATGAACGCACCACAAGATGACGTCACGAGAACATTTCTTCGTGTTGGAAAAGCTACAACGTTCGTTTTAATAAAAATGCATAACATTATTTATACATTGAATGTATTCTCAGAAATAATCTATATTTCTATAGAAATAATTTTAAAAAATAATTCAATAAAATATATATTTTCATTTACAATAATATATTGTTTTTAAATAATTGGGATTTAGTGCCGTGCCAGTTCAATGCCGCGGTGTTGTGGATATCTGACTTTGAATGGAATTCCATTGGTAATTTTCAAATAGCAGGTGGGAAAATTCCTAGTTGTGTGTTGTCTGGAGCACACCAGTACTCCCCATAAATAAGTGGTGGATTAGCATGAGGGACAGGTCATGAAAACATAAATAAAAGCAAGAGAATGAGTAATGCTTTTGACACTGTCAAATGAGCTTCTTAGGTACAGCAACCTGTGAGTACTTGGAACTGTGCTGAACGGAGAGGAGAGTTTGCTTTGACCCTGGCAAGTCTATATTTGTTAGTCTAATTAGCAAATTATCATATTATAGTTACAGCAGCTGAAAGCAGCCTGGAACACTTTGTTCTAATTGCGCTATAACGTCTTCATCTGTGGCTTACATGTCTTAAATGTGTCAAAAACTGTTAATAAGTGAAAATGAAAGAAGCATCGGTTGTGATACCAGTATGTCTGTCTTAATGATAAGCTGTCTTGGCAAACTCATCCATAAGGGACTGCGGTAGTTGTGAAAAAAAAAGAAAGAAAACAGGCTTTCCATAAAGAGAGAGAGATTGGTGGTGGCTTAACTCGTCTCGTAATTTGGAATTTCCACGCTCAATTCAGGTCGTCACGACAAGAGAGATTCTCTCAATTAAGATGTCAATCAGAAGATGTGGGACTGGTTGTCAGAGCAAGCACAATCCAAGCTTGTAAAAATGTGACAGCAAATCTCCCATCAACAGTAACCTACAGCCGTCTAAAACCCCCTCAGAACCCCTCCCTAAATTCCAATTTGGTGCGCCCGGCTGCCTCGGAGAAATAATAAGCTGAACCAATTTGAAAATATTTATCAGTGCAGTCCAACGCCTGCGAGTTGACAGTCCTCCTGAAGCTTGTGTTGCTGAACAATTGGCTAATATATTTGTGTGTATTTGAATTCAAATAGAATTTGGTCTATTCTCCAGTTTTTGCA